GTCATTGTCCTCTCCCCATTATTCCTTCCTTTCCTCATTGTCATTGTCCTCTCCACACTGTCACTGTCCTCTACTCATCCTCCATTTTCTCTCCATTGTTTCCACTGTCCTCTCCCCATTATTGTCACTGTCCTCTCATCCTTTTTTACCCTCTCCTCATCCTTATTTCCTCCCCCATAGCTCTTGGGCCTCGCCCATTATTTTATCCTCTCTCCATTCTATTATGTTTACCATTCTATTAATACATTTTTCATTATACTCATCATTCTTTAATATTCTTCATTCAGTAATACGCGCATTCTTCTCTAGCCATTTCGAACTGTTCTGTCATTTTACCCTTATTCTGTCCACTTCTCATGGCATGGTCGTGTTCTTTCCCCCATGGTTATGTCGGGCGAGGGAGAGGGACAAAAGGTACGAGGCAGGAAAACAATGGTGTCTTCAGACTAATAACTCTTGCACAAGAGGTCGTGTATTTAGTGCACACTATTCTGCCATTCCTGCCTCCATCTGTATCTGGCTGGCTGTGCTTCACTCTCGGTTTCTGTGAGTTTGTATTTGTCTGTTTCATGTTGCTTCTCTCTCACTCTCAAATATATATATATATATATATATATATATATATATATATATATATATATTATATATATATATATATATATATATATATAATATATATATATATATATATATATATATAATATATATATATATATATATATATATATATATATATATATATATATATATATATATATGTATGTCGTGCCGAATATGTAAAACTGGTCAATTAGCAAGAACTCATTTAAAATTAAGTCCTTTCTAAAATTTTCTCTTATACGTTTAAAGATATATTTTTTTCATTAATGTTAATGTATATTTTTTTAATTTTGCAGCAAAAGAATCTTAGAAAACTTACCTAACCTTATTATAACAAGAACAATTTATTTTAACCTAGCCCAACTAAATATATTTTAGATTTGTTTACAATAATTTAATACTAAACAAACACAGAGAAATATATTTTTTTAGTTAGGTTCAGAATGATTTTGGCGAAATTATTGCATACACAAATTTTCACTTGTCCTATATGGCAAGATGAGCGTTGCTATTTAAGCCAAGATCGCAAGTTCTGCCTATTCGGCACGACATATATATATATATATATATATATATATATATATATATATATATATATATATAATATATATATATATAATATATATATATATATATATATATAAAATATATATATATATATATATATATATATATATATATATATATATCGACATAATACAACTTATACAGATCTAGCTAACATAATATAGAAAGCCCCTTGCTATGCAGATGATTTCGGGCAAATTAGGTTAACTTTGTCCCTACAATGCGATCCACACCAGTCGACTAACACCCAGGTAATTATTTATTGCTAGGTGAACAGGGACAGCAGATGGCCTAAGGAAACACGTCCAAATGTTTCCACCCATAACGGGTATCAAACTACGCTACGGGCCTCAATGTGTGAGCTGAGTGCGTTGCCAACCGAGTTATCGGAAACGTTAAGTATCTCATACGACTTTATCATATAGTTTAGGCTATGTTGGTACAAAGTGATCAATATATTACTATAATGTGGTTAAAAGCCTGAATTCCGTGAGATAACTGCACAATGCCTCGCTGTTGTGGTTTGCTGGACGAAAGATCCACCTTGCTATTGCGGTGCGCTTCACTTTGCCAATTTTATTTAACAAATTTGGTTATTGATTTCCATTCAACAACTGGAGGCTGCCTCTTCTGATCGATTTTAAACCTTTAACGCTGATGCATTGTAAGAGAACAACGATACGTTATTGAGTTTCGGCTGCGTAGATCCACACCTGGCAATACACTAACCTAGTTAAAAATCTTAGATTTATTTTTATTCTGCAGTATCTGGAGAAAGCCCCTTACGGTAAGCCTCATACTATTAGCAATTGGAGCCTTGTAGGCTCCAATCTGAAAATTTTATTCGTAAAATTTCCGGAATATCAAATCTTACATCACTAAAAATTCTGACTATCGTGCTGAAAAATTAAATATAACTTTTAAACAGTTTAAACCTTCAGCACATTATTTATTATGGAATTCCTTGTTGCAGTTTAGATATTACTGTTTTTATCTATGTATAACCAACAACATATTTTAAATATTAAATGAAATTAAAAAAGAATTCTTTATATTTGCAAAATGCGCGGGTCTAGCATGTATCACATACAGCACAATAATCTCTCTGAGTTTCATTAACATTTATTTATTGGTTTTTATAATATTAACTGGAGTCTCCAGTGTCCACGACGGTCGATCTCCGTAGAGTTCATAAGAGCAAAAGTTTTTATACTTTTGCCCGGCCGTGATAGAGCCGGTAATTTAATATAAGACTTTCGAATAACTTGTGGCTTGTTTGAGCTCCTCTCCGTGCAATATGGAACGCCTCTTGTGAGCGACCTCAAACTTTCGTCATTGATGTACAGCAATAAAAGGAAGAGTGGGATTGTTATTGGGTTGTGTAGGCGTCAATTTCCCATTATTCAAGAAAACAGGACAGTGGTTTAAATACTAAAACATGAGAACGCTTCTTCTGAATGGCTTCAAACTTACAACACAGGAGCATCCTGCTTACAAGAAAACTGGGTTTGTAGTGATGTGTAGGTGGCAGCTAAAGCATAAAGTTTGTAAAGTACTTTTTTTTTTAGATAAATTAAGATTTTTTGTCTGATTGGCTTCAATTTCGACATATTTTCTTCAAAGGAAGATCTCTCAGCATTGTTGAACAGTGTAAATTCTGTCAACCATAATAAACCGGGAATGCTAGTTTCAACGTGATAACCGGCAAATGCCTGTAATGATTATCTTTAAACTTTTAATGGCTGAGGTGCGTCACTTAAGAGGAAGATTCGGATTTATTTCGGTTCTTTGTTTTCTACAGGGTGTTGATCTGCAGCTCCTGAACCATTAGAGGTGATTAAGCTGCAGATGGATGCTAGATTTCTTGAGTGAACTGAACTCAAGTAAAAACAGTTAGTCGTTTTCACTCATGGGGAAGAGGAGGGAAGGGGTGGTACTAAACCCATAGGGGTCATAAAGCGTCTGGAGGAATGGAGGTGGCAATTAACTTCAAGCCAAGAAAAATGAAGACAAATCCAATTCCTTGGCTCATGAGCCCCTCACTAGCATCAAGTTCCTTTGTGGAGCCTTCGAGGTGTTGGTCTCCATCTCCTGGACCTATTGGGAGACTTGAGTTATATTTCCTAGATTCCTTCGGAAAATTCAGCTGCAGCTTTGTCTCTCGAGTGTTTGGAGGTTTAACTACTGTACGAAACGTAGAGGAGGCAGATGTCCTGGGATACTGGGATGTCTCTCTCGGATCACGCAACGACCCTAACATATCTCATGTAACTTACTAATGATCTCAAACCACATTCTTACTGTCATTAACTTTCTCCTTTGTGTAATATTTATTATCACTCATTCAAGAGTGTCAGCACCATCCTTTACACTCATACAAGATTGTCAGCACCATCCTTTATACTCATACAAGATTGTCAGCACCATCCTTTACACTCATACAAGATTGTCAGCACCATCCTTTATACTCATACAAGAGTGTCAGCACCATCCTTTACACTCATACAAGATTGTCAGCACCATCCTTTATACTCATTCAAGAGTGTCAGCACCATCCTTTACACTCATACAAGATTGTCAGCACCAGCCTTTATACTCATTCAAGAGTGTCAGCACCATCTTTTACACTCACACAAGAGCGTCAGCACCATCCTTTCACTCATACAAGATTGTCAGCACCATCCCTTACAAATATTCAAGTGTCAACACCATCCTTTAGACTTATACAAGATTGTCAGCACCATCTTTTACACTCATATAAGATTGTCAGCACCATTCTTTACACTCATATAAGAGTGTCAGCACCATCCTTTACACTCATATAAAAGTGTCAGCACCATCCTTTACACTCATACAAGATTGTCAGCACCATCCTTTACACTCATACAAGACTGTCAGCACCATCCTTTACACCTATTCAAGAGTGTCACGATCATCATCTACACTCAGACAAGCGTGCCCCCATCAATATACAATTTATATACTCCTTTTTTTCTGCATGATCCCTCCAGATAAGAACACAGTGATCTTAAAGGTAGCAATACCTGTATTTTGAATAACTGTTATTTACTTTCTGTATGCCTAAAAGTTGAGGATATATCACCTTCATGTGCTCTTTGGCACATTACTGAATGCTTCAGTAGGTCAAGAGGAGCTCCTACGTAGCTGAAGGCATGGCAACTTGCTGTGCTCTAAGAACTTTGTTTACCAACCACGAGGAGAGCACTTGAGAGGAGCTGACTCCTGGCACACTACCCTTATTGGTCTACACTAACATCAAACTAATACTCGCCCTCTACACCTGGACCTCCATCTGTGCCTCTATCTACCCTTCTGTCTCCGTCTCTCCCTCCGCCTCAGCTTTTGTATGTACATATCTCCGTCTGTGTGTTTGTCTGCACCTCCAGCTGTTCTCCTGTCTGTCCCATCTACCATTTCGGCTAGTCCCTCCGTCTGCGCCTTTGCAACTGCTGTTTCCTATGTAAGAGACCATCCCACTGCGATAGGCTTGAGCACAATCGCTCAATAGGGTCATCCTACTACGATAGTCATCAACACCATAAATCACTAGAAAAAACTAACTCTCTTATGTTAATGACTCGGGCAGTGTCATTCTCGCCACAAACAACAGCGTGAGAACGATAATGGTGAGTAATGTTCGACCAAACCGCAGGAACACCACACATGAACCACTACACCACACCTGACCCTATACAATACACCTTAACCTGTCCGACACACGTGGGTCTTTACAACACACCTGAGTGTATACAACACACACTGTCTCTACATACAGCTGATATATGAAAAATGACCGGCACATCAATACTCACTCGTCTATCTCGAGGGTGAGGGTGGAGCCCTGCTTAGTGAGGGCGTGGGCGTGGGACAGAGACAGCTGGGCTGTGGGCGTGCCATTGATGGCCTTCACCGCACACCCCGCCCGCACGCCCGCGCCTCCCGCCTTCCCCGTTGAGGTCACCTGAAAAGAGAAGCAGAAGTAGTCATCTGGGCCTGGCGAAAACTGATATTACGACTGCATTCCGGGAAACGTCAAACGCGTGTGGATTATTTAGCGCAAGTGACGAAGGTTCAATCCTCCGTCGGAAAAGAAAATAAAAAAAAAATGAGAAACAGAGACTGGAACCGTAAAGGAAAAGAAAATCATCCAAGAAGAGGAACCAGAGAAAGAAGAAACAGAGTACATGGGGAAGGGATATATCTATACCTCAGTTGTTGAAAAAAAATTATTTAACGTACGACATTCTTTTGAGGCTCCTGCCTGTACAAACAAGGTCAAGGAAGATTCTTTGTCGTCCACTCCTCCTTAAAACATTCCCTCCTACTAACACTCCCTCCTGATAAGATTCCCTCCTCATAACATTCCCTCCTGATATCACTCTCTCCTACTAACACCCTAAACCATTATCATTATACAAGAACACATCAATATAAAACTGAATCTGTAAGAACATTGTAGGTGCAGCAGTTCATCAGGTCATCGCGTGTATATATCTCGTTCCTCTAGCTAGTACTTTATTACAGCTATTATGAGAGACAACTGCATCCGGTGACGACTCAGAATCAGTAGTCAATAAGCTGACTGTCCATAGTCATCTTCAGTGCCGTTATGTGCCGTTAGTTCTTATGTTTAACAAAGATTATTATAGACTTAAGTAGTAGTGAACGACCTGTTAATGAACAAAAAGTTGTATATATGTTGGTAGAATTACCGACAATATGTAAAGTAAAAGGACACAAGTACAACTAATGTGACATTTTATTGTGGCAACGTTTCGCTCTCCAGGAGCGAAACGTTGCCACAATATAATAAAAAGTTTTTCATTACAACTTGAGTTTATGGAGTATATAGTTTTGAGGGGTATGAGAATAAAAAGAGCAGATGTACCATGAAATCATCGGGGTATGTGGAGGCACCAGAGTCACAGTTGGTGTCGCTAAAGAATTAAAAGGCACAATACACAGATAACTCGTACATAGGAGAATGAAACTAATGACGTTTCGGTTCGACTTGGACCATTAGCTAGTCACAGAGATGCGCGAAGGGAAGGGAGCCAAACTAATACCCTTCGTAGTAATCTATTTCATACATTTTCTCCTGCTATTGATGCTTCCAATGTCCTACTTCCATTGTCCTTCCATACCTGGGAACTGGCCGCTCTCTGACAAAAATAGTGTTAGACTGACTTGCCGACACCAATAACACTCTTTTCTGTCATGTTAGAGATCACAGCCATTCTATTAACGGGTCTTCTGCTAAAACTGTATCTTTCTTCTAGCCTTCACAGACGCCGTCTTGTTGAAGCATCCCTTATGTACAACTTGTGCCTTTTTTGTTATTTATGAATTTAATCTTAGCTTTATCCCTGTAGATGCCTTTCTTTCTCACTACACTGATGTTACGTAAATTTACTTGGCGCCTAGGGCCAGGAGGACAGATAAATTTACATGTACCAAAAAATACTATATTACCATTAACCCTATATACACGACATAAAAGCCTCTACACCACTTTTCACATCTTACCAAAAACACACTAGTACCATTGCTACTAGTTATTTAAAGTTAGGCCAAATGAAAACAGTGGGTCTCCATGACCCCACCTTTCTGCCGCCCTGCAGAAAAAAAAAACACTATTACTTCTGTACTCTCCAAATCTTAAACAGGCTCCATATAAATACCAGGACCATACCCGCACCATAGGAATACAAACTCATCAAAAACGTATGGCCTACGTCCTACACAAAACACCATACACTACTTAACCAAACTCCATGACACCTTCCAGCAACTGCTTCCTCGTCACTGCCTTACACACCTCTGTCAGTCGCCTGTACACTCAAACTGTGTCTAAAGCATGTCCGTTTGCCATTTAATCCCCATCCACTTACATTATTTTTGTGGAGAGTTTTTTTTTTCACAAACCCCTTATACAACAATGCATAAACCTGCATAATAATTGCCAAATGCTCCAAACTTCAAAACAATCGTGATTGGACCAGATCTTTATCTCTTCACTTTACCTCTTCTCCTTTCCTACTTTTTTTGCCTTTCCTTTCTTCTGCCTAAGTGAGTTCTATCCTACAAGTTTCCCCCTGCCCCTGGGTTTTTGTCCTACCCTCGTGAACCATTAGCTCTCTTGCACTGCTCTATTTTTCCTTTCTTCTCTTGTTCTTAGACTACCTCCACCACTACTACTACTATTATTATTTCGCTAACACTCCACTCACTGACTCGTGTTACTACCACTACTCCCTTCTTATCGACACCTCTGCCACTGTTGCACTACTTATACTTCTACTACTACCATCACAACTACCTCTATTACCACTACTTCTACAATTATACTACAACAACCTCCTCTCGTTCTAAGACTCCCGGCATCGCCCTCCCCACCTCTCACATACATACTGGCTCCCTTCCTTTTGCGCTTCTGTGGGACTAGTTAATGGTCCAAGTCAGGCCCAAACGTCGTCATAAATTTCATTCTCCTATGTGCTGGTTGTGTACTAGTGTCGCTGATACAGACAAGTCACAGAAGTGCTGACTGTAAAATCTTCCTACAGAGGAAGATTCGTGACTACGTGGTGCAGCGTTTGGCTTGCTGCATGCCAGGACCACGGATTGAATTCCCGTCGATTCTATTATTATTACTTTAATTAGGAAGAGTTAAAAAAGTTAGGGCTGTGTAGCGCCTGGAAAATAGGCGTGAGGAACAATCAGCTTATCTAAGTGACGGGCAGTTCCAATTGTTTCGTCAAGAATCAAGAACTCTTCATCGGCACTAAGTGTTTTCAGAGGACGTGGCAACAAGAGCAAATGCAGCCACTTAATGGGGTCGAGTTTACAGCCCTATAAGAGCAGATGCAGCTAGTTAATGGGGTCGAGTTGACAGCCCTACAAGAGCAGATGTAGCCAGTTAATAGGCTCGAGTTTACATCCCTAAGTGCAGATAATTTATGACTGACAGTAATTTGGGAAAGATCTTCTTGGACACAGATGTTATCGCAAAGCACATGAGTTCCTAATGATATGCTTCTTGGATGATATGCTTCTTGGAAGATATCTTGCAAATAAATATATCTTGCCATGGACGGCTTAAGTATGAAGATACAGCGATTTGTAAAGTAAAAGGACACAAGTGCAACTAATGTGACATTTTATTGTGGCAACGTTTCGCTCTCCAGGAGCTTTGTCAAGCCATTACTTGATCAAGCCATGGCTTGATCAAGCCATGGCTTGATAAAGCTCCTGGAGAGCGAAACGTTGCCACAATAAAATGTCACATTAGTTGCACTTGTGTCCTTTTACTTTACATATTGTCGGTAATTCTACCAACTTTATTACATACAGCGATTTGTAGGCGATGGAATTTTGCATCACCAAATCCTTCTGTTATTCACTTCGATATGCTGAATTCTAGTGATTTATTAAACTTTGAGGTGATATTAGTTAAATTTTAGGCATTTTAATACCAACTATCCTGTCAACAACATTGGAAACATCAAGCATTTTCCTAAAAATCAAAGTGTGCTGAAAATATTTTCCACTGAGTAATACTGATATATATGTAGCGTAACAAACAAGCATCTGATCAAGACAGGATAGGTTATTTATCTCAGGTTAGGTTAGGTTAGGAGAGGTTTACCCAAGGCGCTGAATAGTCAAAATTTTATGTCCATGGTACTGCCTTATATTGGGATCAAAATCGACGCCAAACATTATATTACTTCGGTTATATCAGAAATGGATTCGCAGTTATCGAAAACCCATGAACAAACCCATTTTCTGAAGAATTTCTGAGATGTAACAGTGAAATATGCTCGTCTCGTCTCGGTACGTTTGTCGAAGACTATAGAACAGTGCCATCAACTAACACCTACACTGGTGGACACGCACTTTTTAATGCCAAATGGTACTGTTATTTTACAACATATTATGGGGTGGGGGCCGTAACTGTGGACTGTGGTTTGTGTTGGGATAGTATGTTTGGCTGTGGGGTTCTGATGATGGTTCTGTGTGCTTGTGCTTGTTGCTGTACCCGGCTCTTGTTGTCCTCTGCTGACTCTGTCCTTGTCTTTCTTCCTAGCCCCTTTCATTTCCATGTCTTCTACCTCACCTGCTGTCGTTCTGTTCTTGTTCTGTTGTGGTGTAGGAACACCCTCTTCTATGTTGATGATTCCGTGGTTTCTCTCCTGTTCCGCACCATTTCTGTCTTGATAATCAGTTTGACTGGCCGATTTCTCCCTTTCAAGTACCCTCCTATTCTCTGAAAATTTACTGTCTGTCATATTCTCCTTCCTATTTCTTTGATGGTGTGTGTGTGTGTGTGTGTGTGTGTGTGTGTGTGTGTGTGTGTGTGTGTGTGTGTGTGTGTGTGTGTGTGTGTGTGTGTGTGTGTATACTCACCTATTTGTGGTTGCAGGGGTCGAGTCATAGCTCCTGGCCCCGCCTCTTCACTGATTGCTACTAGGTCCTCTCTCTCCCTGCTCCATGAGCTTTATCATACCTCGCCTTAAAACTATGTATGGTTCCCGCCTCCACTACTTCACTTTCTAGGCTATTCCACGGCTTGACTACTCTATGACTGAAGAAATACTTCCTAACATCCCTTTGATTCATCTGAGTCTTCAACTTCCAATTGTGACCTCTTGTGTCTGTGTCCATCTCTGGAACATCCCGTCTTTGTCCACCTCGTCTATTCCGCGCAGTATTTTATATGTCGTTATCATGTCTCCCCTGACCCTCCTGGCCTCCAGTGTCGTCAGGCCGATTTCCCTCAACCTTTCTTCGTAGGACAATCCCCGTAGCTCTGGGACTAGTCTTGTTGCAAACCTTTGCACTTTCTCTAATTTCTTGACGTGCTTGACTAGGTGTAGATTCCAAACTGGTGCTGCATACTCCAGTATGGGCCTGACGTAAATGGTATACAGAGTCTTGAACGAATCCTTACTGAGGTATCGGAACGCTATCCGTAGGTTTGCCAGGCGCCCGTATGCTGCAGCAGTTATCTGATTGATGTGCGCCTCGGAGATATGCTCGGTGTTATACTCACCCCCAGATCTTTTTCCTTGAGTGAGGTTTGCAGACTTTGGCCATCTAAACTATATTGTGTCTGCGGTCTTCTTTGCCCTTCCCCAATATTCATGACTTTGCATTTGGCAGGGTTAAACTCAAGGAGCCAGTTGCTGGACCAGGCTTGTAGCCTGTCCAGGTCTCTTTGTAGTCCTGCCTGATCCTCATCCGATTTGATTCTTCTCATTAACTTCACATCGTCCGCAAACAAGGACACTTCTGAGTCTATCCCTTCCGTTATGTCATTCACATATATCAAGAACAGCACAGGTCCTAGGACTGACCCCTGTGGAACCCCGCTTGTCACAGGCGCCCACTCTGACACCTCGTCACGTACCATGACTCGTTGTTGCCTCCCTGTCAGGTATTCTCTGATCCATTGCAGTGCCTTTCCTGTTATGTGTGCCTGATCCTCTAGCTTTTGTGTGTGTGTGTGTGTGTGTGTACTCACCTAGTTGAGGTTGCGGGGGTCGAGTCCGAGCTCCTGGCCCCGCCTCTTCACTGATCGCTACTAGGTCACTCTCCCTGAGCCGTGAGCTTTATCATACCTCTGCTTAAAGCTATGTATGGATCCTGCCTCCACTACATCGCTTCCAAACTATTCCACTTACTGACTACTCTGTGGCTGAAGAAATACTTCCTAACATCCCTGTGATTCATCTGTGTCTTCAGCTTCCAACTGTGTCCCCTTGTTATTGTGTCCAATCTCTGGAACATCCTGTCTTTGTCCACCTTGTCAATTCCTCCAGTATTTTGTATGTCGTTATCATGTCCCCCTATCTCCTCCTGGTCCTCCAGTGTCGTCAGGTGATTTCCCTAACCTCTCTCGTAGGACATACCTCTAGCTCTGGGACTAGTCTTGTTGCAAACCTTTGCACTTTCTCTAGTTTCTTTACGTGCTTGGCTAGGTGTGTTGGTGTGTGTTGGTGGTGTGTGTTGTGTGTGTCTGTGTGGTGTGGTGGTGTTGTGTTTGAGGCGTGTGTGGTGTTGTTGTGTGTGGTGTGTGTTTTACCGCGCATTGCGTGTTGCGCGCATGGCTAAATTTTCAGGCGTAGTGATTATTTATTCAAAGTGAAGTTGTGGGGTCATGCTGGAGGTGTCCCGCCTTCTGTAATTTAATTAAAGAGTTCCAGCGGTGAGTAACAACTGTCACATTACCCTAGCTGATACAAATCACAGAATTTATTCAAATGAACATTTTATGTAATTTAATTAAAGATCGCTGGTAACAACTGATTGTGTACAAATAAAACACTATATTTACTGGTGCAATGTTTTACTTTGTGCTGGGGCCACTAACAACTCATTGGTCAGAACAAAAAAGAAGAGACACATAGAGTAGTGTGAAGGCGTAGGGTGTTATTAGGCGTATGTGAATAAAATATACAGGGGAGGAAGACAACAGGTTTCTTTACAGAACAAGATGGTTTCGGGGAGAGATTTAGCATAGTTCCTCTTCTCCTTTCCTTCTATATGTTTTAAAACTGGAATCCATTTTCCTACATGGATGCGACCTTTCTGAATTTTTTTAATTGAAGTGTGAACACCGTAAAACACATCACGTCATAACACATATCAGTAATCCTGGTAAACCATTGTCATTCGTTTAAGGTAATTTAGAGATATCTGAAAAATCAAAATAAAACATCTTCCACCAACTTAAAAAGTCAGGAAATATCTGAGCAAAGAGAAAAACCGTGTAACAAGTAATAGTGGACTTACGTCTTCCTGGCGTCTTCTGTTTGAGCCGCAGAACTTCAACATTCTCGAGGGTGATTTAGGGCTCAAAAGACCCATCCAAACAATTTAAATCCTCGAGTGTCTCGAGTCACAGTGGTTCAGGTCACAGTGACTTCACTCGGTAGTCTTAAATCGTGTCAAATTACTCTTGTATACCACAGCCGAATGTGCCTCGTAAAAAAAAACTTTCCCTCCAGCGGAGCTTCCACAGGACTCACACGAACACTCGACTTCCTGCTAACACCACCGAGTCGACAATTACTCTTCTTTTATCCCCCCGTACTTTGCTACTGAAATTACTCTCGCTTGTATTTACAAGTGTACTTTCTTTTGTATGCGGGGACGTTTTCTGTTATTTGGAAAGTGGACACGTATTACATATCTGCCAAATTTACATTACACCAGTGGCACGTTTTTGCTATTTAGGCTTTTTAATTTGTTTAAGAGACTCGCTGATTAGCCAAACACTCCGGTGAAGCACTGTGTGTTACTCCCAAGTGGTGGATCAGTTTACACTCTCTCAGATTTGTTGTTCTCCACAGTCAACCATTCATTCATCTGTGCTCTGTTCCTACCCCCCCCCCCGCCCCAACATACACACCACACACACACACACACACACACTTACTCTTTCCCCCCATCTCCCTCTCCTGTTCATTCATTCACCTTTTCTTGGCCTTCATTCTTTCACTCCTTTCTTGAGTTCCTTCAAGTACTTATCAGTAATTCTCCGAGGGAATCTCTCAAAATGTACTTTGTGTGTGTTTTCTAGTTATCAATTCGCTTTTCGATGTTTTTTAATGTTAAATGCCTATTTGTTGAGCACCTGATGATTGTTTCAGACATCATCGCGCAAGCGTCCCTATCTCCATCGACTTATCTATGTATGACAATAATATGTGATACGAAAACACTCAGTCTCTCATCCATACGCGAGCGAGCGATGAGAGAGAAGAGATGAGAGAGAGAGAGAGAGAGAGAGAGAGAGAAAGGAGAGAGAGAGAGAGAGAGAGAGAGAGAGAGAGAGAGAGAGTATTAACTGCTGCTAATAAGCTCTGCCATTTGCAGCCCCTAGTAAAGCAATATAAGCGGACGTGGACTACTAACCCTTTCCCCTGGGTGTGTGCAGGACGAGGTTGAGTGAGCAGTGAGTGGGGAGGACGGGTGAAAGGTGCCAAGACTTAGTGTTGTGCGAAGGGTGAAAAGGTTGGGAGAGTCGTATAGAGTGAATGGGGCGAGAATATGAGGTAAGAATAATGAGTGTGGCGAATAATGTAAACTGATTGGTAGGGGTGATTGGAGAATGAAGGGTGAATGGCGTCCATTATTATAGGTCAAAGTGTATGGTAGAGCAATTATTGAAAGAATTAAGGGTACGACAGAGAGTAGGAATGCAGAGGAACAAAGAGGTTTTAAGAAGTGTAGGCGATATGTACACCAAGTGTTTACTTAGACCAAGGTAAAGAACTTTTTACCGCATTTATGGAATCTGGCTGTGTTGACAAAGTACTGCGTACTTTGATGAAGAGTGTGCAGGTTCAAATCCTGCTGTGGACTGAGAGATTATATATATATATATATATATATAATATATATATATATATATATATATATATATATATATATATATATATATCAGTGCGTCATCAGGAGCTATGCAATGTTGCAATCTAAGAGAGCAAGCAGCAGGGAATACACCAGCACTGCGCTATTCTGAGAAAAAACTTCCCCTCACTCCTTCAGCTGCAACCTTGCAACATTGCATATCTCCTGATGACGCACTGAGAAGTGTGAAAGTACTTGAGCTAAAGATTCCCCCCCCCCCCTGGCCTGTCTTGCATAGTTAAGATCGCCTGTCTGCGATTGTTTGCATATATATATATATATATATATATATATATATATATATATATATATATATATATATATATATATATAATATATATATACACACACACACACATATATATACAAACATGTCTTCTAAATATATCTCAACCAACCAGCCAATAATTACTGCTGTTAGATCCATCTTACAAGAAGCCAAAATACTACCCACATCATTCTGGAAACACCGCACTGTCAACAGGTTATTAACACGGTATTCGAATACAAACTGAATGACCTGAATAGGTTGAAATAAGGAACAAATTATCTGGACGCCCACGATACCTTCACATCTCAAGATTAACCTGTTTGTTTTTTATGTGTGTACCATACTCTGACAGGCAAAAAAGTGAGTGAATACGGAGAACTTTGGAGTCCAATTTTCAGGATATCACCAATTCTGTCAGTGGAAGATGGCGTATGAAATGAAGCAAAACTTCCAACAAGACGGGGGAGACTGAGGCGGGGTGAAAGGGGAAAAAAGAAATACGCAAGGCAACACATAGAGCATTATCCACATTACTATCTTCGTGTACTGCGTCCAGGAGTTTACTAGATAAAATTAAGTGACGCGGTAGGACAGAGGACACTCATCACCATTAATATTTATCGACCTTCCATGACATCTTAACATTAATATTTATCAAACTTCCATGACATCTTAGCATTAACATTTACCAAATTTCCATGAAATTTTGCTATTAAAAAACATTCATAACCCAAAATTTATTAGTATGGTTCTCCTCCTTTTTTTTAATTCGTCTTAGTCCTTATTCTTTCTCATCTTCCCTCCACTCACACTATCTCATCCACTCTCTTATCTTCCTCATACTGTGACTTCATTTTTCTCCTCTCATTTCCTTTCATTGTTTCTCTTACTTTTTCCTCTTCATTCCTTTCATCTTTCTCTTATTTTTCTCCTCTCTGTTCCTGTCGTCGTTTCTCTTATTTTTTCCTCTCCTTTCCTTTTAATGTTTTCTTCTTTAAATTTTCCTTCCACTAACACTCCTTTCCTTCCATCCCCGTTTATTCCTCTTCACTCCTTTTCCCCTGTTAATCTTCTCACTCCCTTTCCCTTCAGACACTTCTCCCCCTCCCTCCCCTTCAGACCATGCTCCCCCCTCTCTCCCTTTCAGACCATGTTCCTCCTCCTGCCTTCCCCTAAGACCCTCCTCCTCCTCCTCCTCCTCCTCCTCCTCCCTCCTCTTCAGATCATTCTAACTCCCCTCCCCCCCTTTACACTCCTCTCCAAAAGCAATAAAAATTTACTCGACACATTACCCACAACTACACTAACTGATTTCACACATTTTGAACATTTCTTATTCATATTTTTTTTTCTTCGTGACACATACACCCGCCCTCCCACACCCGCCCTCCCACACCTGTCCTCCCACACCTGCCCTCCCACACCCGCCCTCCCACACCCGCCCTCCCACACCTGTCCTCCCACACCCGCCCTCCCACACCTGCCCTCCCACACCTGCCCTCCCACACCTGCCCTCCCACAACTGCGCTCCCACACCTGCGCTCCCACACCCGCCCTCCACACCTGCCCTCCCACACCTGCGCTCCCACAACTGCGCTCCCACACCTGCGCTCCCACACCCGCCCTCCCACACCCGCCCTCCCACACCCGCCCTCCCACACCCGCCCTCCCACACCCGCCCTCACACACCCGCCCTCCCACACCTGCCCTCCCACACCGCCCTCACACACCCGCCCTCCCACACCCGCCCTCCCACACCCGCCCTCCCACACCCGCCCTCCCACACCCGCCCTCCCACACCTGCCCTCCCACACCCGCCCCTCACACACCCGCCCTCCAACACCCGCCCTCCCACACCCGCCCTCACACACCCGCCCTCCCACACCTGCCCTCCCACACCCGCCCTCCACACACCCGCCCTCCAACACCCGCCCTCACACACCCGCCCTCCCACACCCGCCCTCCCACACCCGCCCTCCAACACCCGCCCTCCCACACCCGCCCTCCAACACCCGCCCTCCCACACCCGCCCTCCCACACATGTTCATGTTGTGTATGTCTGTAAAGTCGACAACTGTTTTGTTTAAACAAAACTGGATACATGTGCAGTGTGAGGCTACCTACTGGTCGGCTACACCAGCGATTTGCTGTCGGAGTACATAAGAACATAAGAGGAGCACAGCAGCAAGCCTACTGGCCCACACTAGGCAAGTCCTTCTCAAACTTAAACTCACTAACAAAAATATCTGCCCAACCCATGTTTAGTGCTAACCAAGGAAAAAGCTTTGATAACCCTGTTAACTCAAATGCAAGTTCCACTCAAATCCAACCCCCTCTCAATCACTAAATTTGAAGCTACCAAAGGTTTTAGCTTCACTAACCCTACCGGACAGCCAGTTAAACGCGTCGACAATTCTATTTCTAAACTAATACTTTCCTATAGCCTTTTTTAAATCTAAACTCACCCAAGCCTCCACCTCTCCTTGCCCTGAAATGCGCCACTACGGGTTTACAGCTTCGTGAAATGCAATACACTTTACCTATGGGTAACTTGTGTTCCCTAGTGTAACTCTGATGAAGGTTCAAGTAGCAGTATACAGTGAGTGTGATATAGTTTGTTACACTAGTAAACGTTTGTCACCTTTACTGCTCATCACTGACAGTGTGCTGGTTACCTGTCAGTACTTGTGCTTGTACTCGTGTCTGCTAGTACTTGTGTCTGATGATACTTATGTCTGCTAGTACTCGTGTCTGTTGCTACTTGTGTCTGCTACTACTCATATCTCCTAGTACTCTTGTATTCTAGTACTCTTGTGTATTAGTACTCTTGTCTGTTAGTACTCTTGTCTGCTGGTACTCTTGTCTGCTGGTACTTTTGTCTATTACTACTCTTGTCTCCTAGTAATCTTGTCTGTCAGTACTCTTGTCCATTAGTACTCATGTCTCCTGGTACTCTTTTCTATTACTATTCTTGTCTCCTAGTAATCTTGTCTGTTAGTACTCTTGTCTGCTAGTACCCTTGTCTGCTAGTGCTCGTCTATGCTAATACTCTTGTCTGATAGTATGCTTGTCTCCTAGTAATCTTGTCTGCTAATACTCTTGTCTGCTGGCACTCTTGTCTGCTAGTTCTCGTATATGCTAGTACTCGTGTCTACTCCACCTGTCCTTCGTGTGTGCTAGCCACAAGTGTCTGCTGTGGGGTAGTACTCGACACTACCTGCCATACCTCACCCACTACAATAAGTTACCCCATTATGGTAAATATTAACTACGTCACTACGTGGTAATTAACTACGTCACCCGCGAACCTTGGTCAACTCACCTCAGTGATTAAAACACTTCACTCTCTAGTACTGTCCATTTCACTATCTAGTATTGTACACTTCATTCTCTAGTACTGTACACTTCGCTCTCTAGTATTATACATTTCACTCTCTAGTACTGTCCACTTCACTCTCTGGTATTGTACACTTCACTAGTACTGTCCACTTCACAATCTAGTATTGTACACCTCACTCTCTAGTAATGTCCATTTCACTCTTTAGTATTGTACTTCACTCTCTAGTACTGCCCACTTTACTCTCTAATACTTTACACTTCACTCTAGTATGGTACACTTCACTCTCTCGTACTGTCCACTTCACTCTCTAGTACTGTACACTTCACTCTTTAGTATTGTACACTTCACTCTAGTACTGTACACTTCACTCTCTAGTATTTTCCACTTCATTCTCTAGTATTGTCCACGTTGTTTTATTGTCCACTTCACTCTAGTACAGTTCACTTTACTCTAGTACAGTCCACTTCACTCCAGTACAGTCCACTTCACTCTAATATAGTCCGGTTCACTCTAGTATAGTCCAGTTCACTCTAGTATAGTCCACTTCACTCTAGTATAGTCCACTTTACTCTAGTACAGTTCACTTTACTCTAGTACAGTCCACTTCACTCTAATATAGTCCAGTTCACTCTAGTATAGTCCAGTTCACTCTAGTATAGTCCACTTCACTCTAGTATAGTCCACTTCACTCTAGTATAGTCCACTTCACTCTAGTATAGTCCACTTCACTCTAGTATAGTCCACTTCACTCTAGTATAGTCCACTTCACTCTGGTATAGTCCACTTCACACTAGTATAGTCCACTTCACTCTAGTATAGTCCACTTCACACTAGTATAGTCCACTTCACACTAGTATAGTCCACTTCACACTAGTATAGTCCACTTCACTCTAGTATAGTCCACTTCACACTAGTATAGTCCACTTCACTCTAGTATAGTCCACTTCACTCTAGTATAGTCCACTTCACACTAGTATAGTCCACTTCACACTAGTATAGTCACTTCACTCTGGTATAGTCCACTTCACACTAGTATAGTCACTTCACCTAGTATAGTCCACTTCACTCTAGTATAGTCCACTTCACACTAGTATCAGTCCAGCTTCACACTAGTATAGTCCACTTCACTCTAGTATAGTCCACTTCACACTAGTAACATCCCTTCACACATAGTATAGTCCACTTCACTCTAGTATAGTCCACTTCACTCTAGTAAGTCCACTTCACACTAGTATAGTCCACTTCACACTAGTATAGTCACTTCACTCTGGTATAGTCCACTTCACACTAGTACAGTCCGCTTCACACTAGTATAGTCCACTTCACTCTAGTATAGTCCACTTCACACTAGTACAGTCCGCTTCACACTAGTATAGTCCACTTCACTCTAGTATAGTCCACTTCACACTAGTACAGTCCGCTTCACACTAGTATAGTCCACTTCACACTAGTATAGTCCACTTCACACTAGTATAGTCCACTTCACACTAGTATAGTCCCTTCACACTAGTATAGTCACTTCAATCTGGTATAGTCCACTTCACTCTAGTAAGTCCACTTCACACTCTAGTATAGTCCACTTCACACTAGTACAGTCCGCTTCACACTAGTATAGTCCACTTCACTCTAGTATAGTCCCTTCACACTAGTAAGTCCCTTCACTATGTATAGTCCACTTCACACTAGTATAGTCCGCTTCACACTAGTATAGTCCGCTTCACACTAGTATAGTCCACTTCACACTAGTATAGTCCACTTCACTCTGGTATAGTCCACTTCACTCTGTATAGTCCACTTCACACTAGTATAGTCCACTTCACACTAGTACAGTCCACTTCACACTAGTATAGTCCACTTCACACTAGTACAGTCCGCTTCACACTAGTATAGTCCACTTCACTCTAGTATAGTCCACTTCACACTAGTATAGTCCACTTCACACTAGTATAGTCCACTTCACACTAGTATAGTCCACTTCACACTAGTATAGTCCACTTCACACTAGTATAGTCCGCTTCACACTAGTATAGTCCACTTCACACTAGTATAGTCCACTTCACACTAGTATAGTCCACTTCACACTAGTATAGTCCACTTCACACTAGTACAGTCCGCTTCACACTAGTATAGTCCACTTCACACTAGTACAGTCCGCTTCACACTAGTATAGTCCACTTCACACTAGTATAGTCCACTTCACACTAGTATAGTCCACTTCACACTAGTAAGTCCCCTTCACACTAGTAAGTCCACTTCACACTAGTATAGTCCACTTCACTCTGGTATAGTCCACTTCACTCTGGTATAGTCCACTTCACACTAGTATAGTCCACTTCACACTAGTACAGTCCGCTTCACACTAGTATAGTCCACTTCACCTAGTATAGTCCACTTCACCTAGTATAGTCCACTTCACTCTGGTATAGTCCACTTCACACTAGTATAGTCCACTTCACACTAGTACAGTCCGCTTCACACTAGTATAGTCCGCTTCACACTAGTATAGTCCACTTCACTCTGGTATAGTCCACTTCACTCTGGTATAGTCCACTTCACACTAGTATAGTCCACTTCACACTAGTACAGTCCACTTCAGTATTCCTACCTAGTATAGTCCACTTTCATCACTAGTATAGTCCACTTCACACTAGTATAGTCCACTTCACACTAGTATAGTCCACTTCACACTAGTACAGTCCACTTCACACTAGTATAGTCCACTTCACACTAGTATAGTCCACTTCACACTAGTATAGTCCACTTCACACTAGTATAGTCCACTTCACACTAGTACAGTCCACTTCACACTAGTACAGTCCACTTCACACTAGTATAGTCCACTTCACACTAGTATAGTCCACTTCACACTAGTATAGTCCACTTCACACTAGTACAGTCCGCTTCACACTAGTATAGTCCACTTCACTCTGGTATAGTCCACTTCACACTAGTATAGTCCACTTCACACTAGTACAGTCCACTTCACACTAGTATAGTCCACTTCACACTAGTATAGTCCACTTCACACTAGTATAGTCCACTTCACACTAGTACAGTCCACTTCACACTAGTATAGTCCACTTCACACTAGTACAGTCCGCTTCACACTAGTATAGTCCACTTCACACTAGTATAGTCCGCTTCACACTAGTATAGTCCACTTCACACTAGTATAGTCCGCTTCACACTAGTATAGTCCACTTCACACTAGTATAGTCCACTTCACACTAGTATAGTCCACTTCACACTAGTATAGTCCACTTCACACTATATAGTCCACTTCACACTATAAGTCCACTTCACACTAGTATAGTCCACTTCACACTAGTATAGTCAGCTTCACACTAGTATAGTCCACTTCACACTAGTATAGTCCACTTCACACTAGTATAGTCCACTTCACACTAGTATAGTCCACTTCACACTAGTATAGTCCACTTCACACTAGTATAGTCCACTTCACTAGTAATAGTCCACTTCAACATTTACTCAAATAGTAATCACTTCACATAATACTCACTTAACACTAGTTAGTCCACTTCACACTAGTATAGCCATTCACACTATATACACTTCACACTAGTAAGCCACTATCCACAAATCACCACTTCACACTAGTTATGCTCCACTTCACACATATCACCACTACACATTACTGCTGCCACTACCACAATCACCACTACACATTACTGCTGCCACTACCACAATCACCACTACACATTACTGCTGCCACTCCACAATCACCACTACACATTACTGCTGCCACTACCACAATCACCACTACACATTACTGCTGCCACTGCCACAATCACCACTAACACATTACTGCTGCCACTACCACAATCACCACTACACATTACTGCTGCCACTGCCACAATCACCACTACACATTACTGCTGCCACTACCACAATCACCACTACACATTACTGCTGCCACTGCCACAATCACCACTACACATTACTGCTGCCACTACCACAATCACCACTACACATTACTGCTGCCACTGCCACAATCACCACTACACATTACTGCTGCCACTACCACAATCACCACTACACATTACTGCTGCCACTGCCACAATCACCACTACACATTACTGCTGCCACTGCCACAATCACCACTACACATTACTGCTGCCACTGACCACAATCACCACTACACATTACTGCTGCCACTGCCACAATCACCACTACACATTACTGCTGCCACTACCACAATCACCACTACACATTACTGCTAGCCACTGCCACAATCACCACTACACATTACTGCTGCCACTACCACAATCACCACTACACATTACTGCTACCACTGCCACAATCACCACTACACATTACAGCTACCACTACCACAATCACCACTACACATTACTGTTACCACTACCACAATCACCACTACACATTACAGCTACCACTACCACAATCACCACTACACATTACAGCTACCACTACCACAATCACCACTACACATTACAGCTACCACTACCACAATCACCACTACACATTACAGCTACCACTACCACAATCACCACTACACATTACTGCTACACTACCACAATCACCACTACACATTACTGTTACCACTACCACAATCACCACTACACATTACTGTACACTACCACAATCACCACTACACATTATTGCTACCACTACCACAATCACCACTACACATTATTGCTACCACTACCACAATCACCACTACACATTATTGCTACCACTACTACCATCACCACTACACATTATTGCTACCAATCACCACTACATATTCACCACTACAACACTAATTATTGCTACCACTACCACAATCACCACTACACATTATTGCTACCACTACCACAATCACCACTACACATTATTGCTACCACTACCACAATCACCACTACACATTATTGCTACCACTACCACAATCACCACTACACATTATTGCTACCACTACCACAATCACCACTACACATTATTGCTACCACTACCACAATCACCACTACACATTATTGCTACCACTACACAATCACCACTACACATTATTGCTCTACCACAATACTTACACATCACAACACTACACATTATTGCTACCACTACCACAATCACCACTACACATTATTGCTACAACTACCACAATCACAATCACCACACTCCACTACTAAAATAAGCGTATTCGTGTGCTTCCTCTCTACCACTATTACCACCGGCCCTCTACCACCACGACTACCACCAGCACAGCACCCGCGCCACCACAACAGTAAAGAAGAGGAGGCTAGAGTGCCACAAGGACGCAGGCACTGGCTGGCACCTGGTGGAAGGAGTATTGTGGCACCCTCCATGACACGAGGCCCTCCAACACCCTCCTGTCAGGCCAAGTACCTGCTAACCCACAACGCTCCGTAAGGGAGGAAACTCGACCAGTTACACACGAGTTTCTCGCCCGTACGGATCGTTCATAGTTAGGCTATTTAAGCGGTCTGATTACAGTAAATTTCAGTCGCTTTATTTTTATTTTTTTTTACTTAGTTACCCATGAGTCCCCCCTTTAAACCTTCTTTAAAAGGTGGGGGAGGGAGAGGGAGTTGATACTAGTGGAGGGGGAGATAGGGAGAGGAAGAGAAGGTGACGCAGAGGATAACGATGGAGAGGACGAAGAGGAATAAGAGGATGAGGATGGAGGGGAGGAGGTGGAGGATGGAGGGGAGGAGGAGGATTTAGGGGAGGAGAAGGATGATGATGAAGACGAGGAGAAGGATGAGGATGGAGGGGGGGAGGATCGAAGAGATGGAAGAGGATTAAGATGGAGGTGGAGGTTCAGGTGGAGGAAGAGGAGGAGGAGGAGCACTGAGAGAGGAGGGTGAGGGTACCATAACATGATGGGGGAGTATACAGGCTTGAGTTACACTGAACCAGGTCATTGTTAGCCAGCTGTCGTATGTAATGTTCTGTACTACCCTCCGCTGGTGATGTACTGCTCTGTACTACCCTCTGCTGGTGATGTACTGCTCTGTACTACCCTCTGCTGGTGATGTACTGCTCTGTACTACCTTCTGCTGGTGATGTACTGCTCTGTACTACCCTCTGCTGGTGATGTAATGCTCTGTTTCTACCCCCCGCTGGTGATGTACTGCTCTGTATACCCCTCTGCGGGGATGTACTGCTCTGTACTATCCCTCTGGGGATGTACTGCCTGTACTACCTTCTGCTGGTGTGTACTCCGGGAACTATCCCTTCTGGTGATGTAACTTCTCCCCGTGAAAACCCTCTCTGGTGATGTACTGCTCTGTACTACCCCCTGCTGGTGATGTAATGCTCTGTATACCCTCGCTGGGTGATGTACTTCCTCTGTAATTTTCAACCTCTACTGGTGATGTACTGCTCTGTACTACCCTCTGCTGGGGATGTACTGTACAACACTAGTAGGGGATTTGAGGGCACTTTAATTCTTAAAATGGGGATTAAAGTGAACTCTATTTTTATATTTTTTTTTAAATTTTTAAAAATTTTTTATTATTTTATTTTTTTTTTAATTTTTTAAAAATTTTTTAAAATTTTTTAAAAATTATTTTTAAAAAATTTTTTCTTTTACTATTTTTATTAATTTATTATATTTTTATTTATATCTTTATTAGTACTTTTTAAATATATTATTTTAAAACCCTTTATTATAAAATAGTAATTAATATAATTTAAAATATATAAATAATCTATTTTATATATATTTTAAAATTATAATATATAATATATATATATATATATATAATATATATATAAAATATATAAATATATATATAATAATACACCCACTACATATTGCCCTTCTTAACTGCTCACAGCATAGGGCAACAGCGTCAAGATGTGGCACCTCTTGTCCGTATGGAGATGGCATTAGCCTGACACTGGTTGGCACTGACGTGGTATTACCGTGATAGTGGCATGGACGTGGTACTACCGTGACAGTGGCACTGACGTGGTACGGCCGTGACAGGGGCACTGACCTGGTACGGCCGTGACAGTGGCACTGATGGGAGAATTAGCGTGGTCCTGCATGCATTAAAAATTTATTACCATAGAATCGGGTAACTTGACAAGGCACGCTATGGCACCCTGGAGGGTAATCAATGTATGGAACGATAAAGGTCGAGGCAGAGCTTAAGGAGAGTGGAATACACACGAGGCGGTTGGAAGAAAAGGCAGAGGTGAAAATGGCAAGGTGGACGGATTATGCAGCAAAAGGTGCGTTAAGAGAAGACAGGAAAAAAGAAATGTTTTTGAAGGCGAGAGTGGGTAGGATAGGTGGACGATGGAGTAAGTGGCAGGAAGAAAGGCAGGAGAGAGCGAAGACGAAGTAAAAAGGTAGATAGCGGAAGTTGGAGAATGGAGGAGTGGATGGAGTAGGTAGCAAGAAGTGAAAGGAATCAGAGAGAAGGAATAAGTAGATGGTAAAGAGAAAGATGACGGGCTGGGCAGAGAATATTGGAGTGGAAGGAGTAGGAGGAAAGAGATGAGAGAAGAAGGGGTGTGAGATAAGTGGGAGGGATCTCAATGGAAATAAATTATATGATATCACTTTGCTGGTTTATCCTAAGTTAAACCTCAGCAGCTTAGAAATACCTTATGCTTATAATTGCTGGTTTATTCTAGGTTAAACCTGCAAAGCTTACCAACACTGCACACTTATAATTAATTGTTGTTTTATCCTAGGACTTACCTTAAACCATGAGAGCTTAGCAACACTATGCTTATAATTGTTGTTTTCTCCTAGGATAAACCTTCCCATTAAACAATACTGTGTTGTGTTTAACGCAAGCTATTGTACAACCGTCAGTTAAACCTGCAAACGTACTAGAGTGCTTCGTTTTAAAGGTGTTGAACACTGTATCAAGAGTATGCTAGTACTTTAATCTATATGATAGTTACATGACTCAACAGCCTCCAGGAAGAGGACATTTAAATCTCACGATACTGTGATTATGCTATCGTAGTTAAATAGCGGGAATACACGATAGCTATTTTTCTCCTATTATATTCCATTACACAGGATGGGTTTCTTACATCAAGAGATGAAATATCTCAACCTGAGTTGGGAGGTCTTGTCAGTATTGGGGTTCAAGGCACCTAGGGGGGAGGTCTCAGTAGTGTCAGCCTGAGGTGGGAGGTCTCAGTAGTGTCAGCCTGAGGTGGGAGGTCTCAGTAGTGTCAGCCTGAGGTGGGAGGTCTCAGTAGTGTCAGCCTGAGGTGGGAGGTCTCAGTAGTGTCAGCCTGAGGTGGGAGGTCTCAGTAGTGTCAGCCTGAGGTGGGAGGTCTCAGTAGTGTCAGCCGAGTTGGGAGGTCTCAGTAGGTCAGCCTGAGGTTGGGGGGTCTCAGTAGGTCAGCCTGAGGTGGGAGGTCTCATTTGTGTCAGCCTGAGGGTTTGGGGGGTCTCAGTAGTGTCAGCCTGAGTTGGGAGGTCTCATAGTGTCACCTGAGGTTTGGGGGGTCTCAGTAAATGTCCAGCCTGAGTTTGGGGGGTCTCAGTAGCGTCAGCCTGAGGTGGGAGGTCTCAGTAGTGTCAGCCTGAGTTGGGAGGTCTCAGTAGTGTCAGCCTGAGTTGGGAGGTCTCAGTAGTGTCAGCCTGAGTTGGGAGGTCTCAGTAGTGTCAGCCTGAGTTGGGAGGTCTCAGTAGTGTACCTGAGGTGGGAGGTCCAGTAGGTCAGCCGAGGTGGGAGTCTCAGTAGTGTTAACCTGAGTGGGAGGCTTCAGTAGTGTCAGCCTAGTTTGGGGGCTCAGTAGTGTCAGCCCGAGTGGGAGGCTCAGAGGCAGCCTGAGTGGGGGGTTCAGTAGTGTCAGCCTAAGGGGACTTTAGTAGTGTCAGCCAAGTTTGGGGGGTTCAGATAGTGTCAGCCTGAGTGGGAGGCATTTCAGCCATGGACCCGTTGAGCCGATTGGGAGGCTTCAGTAGTGTCAGCCTAAGTTGGGAGGACTCAGTAGTGTCAGCCTGAGTGGGAGGTCTCAGTTATGTCTTTAGTTTGGGGGTCTTCAGTAGTGTCAGCCTGAGTTGGAGGCTCAGTATGTCAGCTGAGTGGAGCTCAGTAGTGTCCCAGTTGAGGCTAGATTCCCGTTAGTTCAATCCCTGAGTTTGGGGGGCTTTAGTCGTGTCAGCCCGAGTTGGAGGCTTTGTAGTGTCAGCCTAAATGGGAGCTCAGTATCAGTAAGTGTTTAGTCTAGCCCGGAGATTCAGTAATGTAAACCTGAAATGGGGGCTTTAGTAGTGTCAGCCTGAGTGGGAGGCTTTAGTAGCTCAGCCTGAGTGGAGAATTCAGTAGTTCCTGAGGTGGGAGACTTCCGTAGTGTCATCCTGAGCTGGGAGACTTCAGTAGTGTCAGTCTGAGCTTGGAGACTTCCTTAGTGTCAGCCTGAGATGGAGACTTCAGTAGTGTCAGTCTGAGCTTGGAGACTTCAGTAGCATCAGCCTGAGATGGAGACTTCAGTAGTGTCAGCCTGAGCTGGGAGACTTCAGTAGTGTCAGCCTGAGCTGGGAGACTTCAGTAGTGTCAGTCTGAGCTGGAAGACTTCAGTAGTGTCAGTCTGAGCTGAGAGACTTCAGTAGTGTCAGCTAGAGATGGGAGACTTCAGTAGGGCGATGAGGATATCTTCAAGTATTCAGGAAAGGTTCAGTAGCTACGGCAGCTTCAAAGATTTAGTATTATCAGAGACGGAGTTACTATCACGGATGTTGCAAGGGCAATGAGTAGGTCAATATGGAGGGAAGTACCAACATAAGATGTTTGCAGGCAATGATAGGTCATAGGAGGAGTTACTACTAAAGATGTTGTGCAAGGGCAATGAGTAGGTCAATATGGAGGGAAGTAACTACATTAAAGATGTTGTTGCAAGGGCAATGAGTAGGTCAATATGGAGGGAAGTAACTACATTAAAGATGTTGTTGCAAGGGCAATGAGTAGGTCAATATGGAGGGAAGTAACAACATTAAAGATGTTGTTGCAAGGGCAATGAGTAGGTCAATAAGGAGGGAAGTAACACATTAAAGATGTTGTTGCAAGGGCAATGATGGTAGTCAATAAGGAGGGAAGTAACAACATTAAAGATGTTGTTGCAGGGGCAATGAGTGGGTCAATATGGAGGGAAGCAACTACATTACAGATGTTGTTGTAGGGGCAATGAGTGGGTTGATATAGAGAGCAGTAACTACATTAAAGGCGGAGGTCGCGCCGGTATCAGGGGCGTGGCAGCCAATAGATG